CCCTACACATTAACCTAAAGAAGGAATGGACTGGATTTGAAAATGACCCTCTAACTTCAATTTTTATACCAACACTTGTTGCAACAAGAGATGGATATTTACATATACATATCATTTATTTAAAACATAAATATAATAAAAAATTCTATAAACTATTAAACAATATGCCATCTCATTATCTTTTAAGTCGCCGTAAACAAAAGCTTGTGGGTCCACTTCTTAGCACAAGATATTTATAGATAAACAAAACTGACAGACTTCAAAGTCATTCATTTATCTATTTTATCTTGAATCACAAAGCTCGCTTTACAAAAATTCCACTATTTGTTAAGTTATTTATTTTACGCTTAAATACATTTTTAGCCTTATAAAATTAGAAAATTTTAATTTATAATTTTATAATTTTTAAATAAGTATTTATTTATTAAAAAATTTAAGTAATAATATTACGTATTACTCAACTATTAGTGTGATATCATGATAATGTATGACAATTCTCAAATTTTTATTGTTCGTTAAAAGTAAATATTATTTATTTACCATAAAGTGAGCATTAAGAATAAAAAATAGTAATTTTATAATGATGAAAATAATATATATATATATATATTATAAAGATTAAAATTAAAATTTATTCGTTTAACAAAGATAAAATAATATTTACTTATTTATAAGGATGGATTTTTTTTTTTATAATAACTAAAATCAAAACTTAGTTATGTATAAGAATTAAAATCATATTAAAGGCTTTATTTTATCTGGCAGGTTTATAGGATCCATCTGCTTTACAACAACTTCACGACATTTTCTAAAGACCAAGAATATTTGATCTCATTTAATGAAAGGAACGATACTAATGCAGCAGATTTTATAGATGGTCAACTTCTATTGAATAATCAATCGTCACTAGATCTTTCCTTTTACCCAACTTCTGATCAACAAAGAATAACTTCCTTGGTAACTCAATATGGCATTATCTACGTCTTAGAGATTGTCAAATATTATGACAACAACTTTGAAGCACGCGCCAAACAGGTAACTTTGAAACAAATGCAGTTTTTGCTATTTATTATGTACATCTGTTTAATTTTTTTATTTTCATAAGATTCAATAAATTTATTAAACAAATGCAAAAGATTCTCGAATCCAAAGAGACCATACCATTTGTCAAACTCATTCAAATCAAATCGTTATAAACTCATTTTCCTTAACAATTTAGTCATAAATAATATTTTACTAAATTGATCATCTTCTTGTTTCTTGAGCAGGAAGTTGCAAATTTGGTCAAAGGGTTAAGTTTTTTACCTACATTTATGTTCAAAAGAGATGCATCATACGAGGAGTTTCTGGATAGACTTCATGCTTTGGAGCTATTGCTTACGCCGCAAGGACTTTGGGATGTTCCTCATCCTTGGCTGAACATGTTTGTTCCAAGTTCTCGAATCTCAGATTTTAATGAAGGTGTATTCAAGGACATTATTCTTAAGCAAAATATATCTACCGGGGGATGTTTCGTCTACCCCATGAACCGAAACAAGTAAGTTAATTAGATAATTTAATATTAAAAGTGACAAAAAAAATATTTAAATAATTTATTGTCTATACGTTAAAATAATATTTGGCTAATAAAAATTATATTTTATGTGTGTAAATTAGTCCTTAATTTGTGAACTTTGGGACACGGAATAAACCATATCCATAAAAGTAAAATAAAAAAAAATCATTTGTTAATTTGTTTTAACCACATGTTACTTTTTTTTATTTTTTATTAAGAGAACTATGGATATGAAATGGGAACAAGTTATTTCTGATCCAAATTATTTGCGATCATATGTACATGGATGTTTACATATGTGAGAATTAAACTGAATGAACATGTTAATAATTCACAGGTGGGATGATAGGATGTCAGCAGTTATACCAGAGGAAGATGTTTTCTATTCTGTAGATATTTTTCATTCTGCATCTGGGTTAGATGAGGTGGAGAAATATCAAGTTCAAAACCAAAACATATTACAGTTTTGTAAAGATGCAGATATTAAGATCAAGGAATATCTTGCCGGTAACAAAACACATCAAGAATGGGTGGAACACTTCGGCCTCAAATGGAAACTTTTTGAAGATAGAAAAGCTAAATTTGATCCCAACAAAATATTATCACCTGGCCAAGGAATTTTCCAATAGACGTCAATGTGTCGTGTTTTATTCACAATGTCTGCATGTTTATGGGTGTTTTATTTTTATTTTAATTGATGAGCGTGTTTAGAAGCGTTCAGAGCTTTGGAAATAATTTGATGTATGAGTGAAATATCTTATTTTAAAATTTGTGGAATAAAAATTTATATAATTTCAAATTTCTTATTTTATTAGAATTTTATATATATGCATGTCGATCATTCACTGCAAATTCTAAATTCTAAAGATAATCTCTTTTCTTTGGTTTACTTAAACAAAGTAGGCCATACTCAAGGCAATTTTTTATATTTATACATAATTCATCGGTATAATTTTGTAATATGCTAAAATTTGATATTCAACCATCTATTTGATATAAACCAATTTGGTGTTCGACATCTCATTTGGCTAAGGGTTTCTTAATTATGTTTGCTCTTATACATGGGCCACAGGGTTGTAAACAGAAGGTGAAGACTAAGGGGTATGCTCGAGTTGAGTATTCCTAGGAGTGTGCAAAAAATCTAAATTGATCCGAATCGATCCGATTTGTATTGAAAAAATCCAATCCATTTTGAAAAAAAACCGAACCGAACCACTTTATAAACCAGTTCAGTTATCCGATCCATTTTTACAAAGTGGATCGATTCGGTTTGGTTTGATATTTTAAAAAAATCGATCTATATATGAGTAAAAAGTGGATAACTGCATTGCACCCAACCGATCCAATTTCAAAAAAATCGATCCATATTTAAAATAAAAAAAAAAAAAACTGATCCACTTTATAAAAAATGGATCGGTTAACCAATCTACTTTTATAAACCGATCCATGAACACCCCTAAGTATACCCATGTTTTGCCTTTAAGCCTTAATGGTGATTTGGATGCCTAGATGTGAAAAAGAGGATAACGACAATGATGGACTGATTGGTTGTGACGACATTGAGGTGGAAAAATGGATGATAGATATTATTTGCTTTGGGTCGATAGAACCCCCCTTTTTGTTTTTTTTTTATAAGAAAAAGAGATTTAAACTAACAGGAGTACAAAGAGTACTCCAACTCGTTACAAGAGACACTGAGACATAATTTAAAATCAAAACCAAACAGAAATTATGAAAATTACAAATTCGGGTTATAATACCAACTAATGTAACTAAAAGTACAACAGGGGACAGAACTAGTAATCCACTTCCATGAATGCAGTTTAATATTGTTCAGCACTTCCTTCCAATTCGTAACACCTTGCTGAAACATAATAGCATTCCGATGAAGTCATAGTGACCAGATAACATAATTAAACCCAAACTACCAGAAAACACTGAGAACGCTATTTATATATACCAAGATTCGTCCAATATAAATAAAGAGAAATTAAAGAATTAGGAAAGACCACCACAACCTCCAACCAATTTGCAACAACTAACCAAGTATTAAAAGTCATAGGGTACATTAGAAAGAGATGAAAATGGTCTTCAACAAACAGAGAGCAAAGAGAACATAAATTGTTATCCAACTCCACACCACGTACTTGTAATAATGATTTGCACAGAAATGCATTCAAGAACACCTACCAACAAAACACCAAGCATTTGATCGAAGCCTTGCATTTTCAAAGACTTTTTATAACTAGTTGAAAATATGAAGAATATCTTAGTTCTCCACCCAGCGAGCGCTACAGCCAAAGGTAGGTACTTTTCACCGAGAATACACAGTTCTTATCACAAATCCATCTCCAATAATCTTGCTTAGAGGAGAAAATTTGCAAACCTTGAAGCATATCCAACAAGGTATTCACACTACTAACTTCATGGACAAAAGGTTCTCTTCTCCAATTACCCAAGTTCCATTATGTGCCACCACTGACAACGGATCAAAGGCAAAGGAGTACAAACGAGGAAAGACATCCAACAAGCGCAAACCACCTATCCACTTATCCTCCCAAAATCGGGTCATAGTGCCATCGTTAATACAACGTTTAATCTTTTCATTCAACTAAAAATTTCCTTGTTGCAGCACACACACTATATCCTTCCACCACCAAGAAGCCCTCCTATCCACATTTGAGCAATTAGAAAAGGACTCAATGCCCTCATACCTACCTTGAAGAACTTTAGCCCACAACATACCTAGAGAGAGCGTGCACCTCCACACCCATTTCCCTACGAATGCGCAATTGAACATAGAGCCCCCTTTTTGTACAACACATCTTTATTCATTTTGAGGAATACATACATGCACACACATATATATATTTGTGTTTTTTTTTTTGAACAACAAAGAAATATTTTATATAATAAAATGGTACAAGAGATATCAATCTCGAATACATGTTTGCATGCGGAGGACACAACAAAGTTGGGCCTAATTTAAATTATAAATTAGCCTCCAACTAAGAGGTACAAAATCTACTATTTGCATACTAGATTACTCTAAAGACTCCTCAAAACCCCATCAAAGATCTTAGGAAATGATACAAAGTCCAGGGTTAGCTTCCCATTGACTGAATGAATAGTTGAACGACTTATTAAAACTAGTCAACCAAGACCATGAGTATAACACAGTTTGCTGCAGTAAGCGATTCCCGTCGAGGTGCTCCCCTTCAAACACACATTTGTTCCTAGCTCCAGATGCACCATAATATTGCAGTCCATATAACATGACATTGGTCAACCCTCTTTTTAGACAATAGTATACTTGGATGAGCAAAGAAGTTGCCTTCAAATGAACTAGATAAAGGAGTCGGGCTATCCAACCACAACAACCATTTTTTCCAGATCGGGTCAATGCCGCTGCAATATAAATATGTGTTCGGCCGACTCGATATCCACATTGCAGAAGGGGCAGGTTGCTTGATCCCTTAAGACTATCACATTTCTCCTCAACAAGTTTTCCTTTGTAGGCAAAACACCCATGAATAACCTCCAAATGAAGCATTTAACTTTGGGTGGAACTTTTATATCCCAAGCTACCGCAGCAACATTTGGCAACTGTGATGAGGAGCCACGGTCCATCAAAGCCCGATACCCAGATCTTACTGAGAAGCATCCCGAGCTATCTAGTGTCCAAAGCCTTGAGAGTTGTACACCCTCTGTTAGTACCCCTGCCTCCACTATATTCATGAACTGTTGCACATCGTTTAATTCCCAATAGTGAACCAAGCTCGTCTCCACTGAAATCTCCATTGCCACCTTCCTCTACTCCAATGACCCATATCCGCCACCACATTTGACTTTTGCAATGAATTCAAGAAAATCCTTGGGAATCTATTCGCTAGAGGCTCTGCCTCTGCCCATGCATCAGACCAGAATCGGATCCGGTCACCCATCCCTAACCTCCATGACAATGAATCCATAAACCAAGAGTCACTGGTGTCCTCACCCGAAGCCTTCAATACATCACCCCACCGCATAGAATCTGAGCTTCCTCTCAGTCGAGTATTGTGCATAATGGTATCACCGTGCTTAGATAATAGAATTCTTGCCCACATTGACTCTGGTTGCTGAAAGAGTCCCCAACGCCACTTAGATAATAGTGCTTCGTTAAAAGCATCCAGCTTCTTAATTCCTAGACCCCCTTCCTTCTTAGGCCGACAAATTTTCTCCCAAGATACCCATGCCATTCTCTTCTCATCCAGCTTACCACCCCATAAGAAGTTGCGCTGAATAGATGTTAGTTGCTTGGTCACTATCTTGGGCATTCTATAGAATGACATAATGTATAACGGCAAGGAGGTCAACACCGAATTTATCAAGCAAATCCTTCCCGCCATGGACAATCTCGATGCTCTCCACGATGACAGCTTTTTTTTAAAGCTCGAGACCACAGGCTGCCAAGTTTTACTTCTTCTTGGGTTGGCCCCAATAGGTATGCCCAGATATATAAATGGAATGTTGGACAACTTGTAATGTAATAGCTCTGCAAAGGAAATTAAGGTCTCTCTTCCCACATCAATAGCTCCTAAACAACTCTTGTAAAAGTTAACTTTAAGACCACTTGCCAACTCGAAACCCCGCAAGATTACCTTCAAGGTCCTCACATTTTCCACCGAAGCTTCCCCCACAAAGATTGTATCATCTGCATATTGGAGGATGTTAACTAATTCGCCTTTCGATCCCACTTTAATACCTCTGAACAAATCTGAATTTGAAGCTTTTCTAACCAGGCCAGTAATTCCCTTTGCAACCAAAACAAACAGGAAAGGGGCTAGCGGGTCCCCTTGTCTAATCCCTTTTTGCATGGAAAATTCAGTTGTAGGGCTTCCATTAACCAGAACTGACATAGGAGGGTTCTTAAGCACTCACCAATCCAACCTATCCACTTATCTTGAGACCCAAATCACCTTAACATATATAACACAAAGCTCCATGAAACTGAATCATATGCCTTCTCAAAATCAACCTTGAAGTACATGCATGACTTCTTTCTCCGCCTAACCTCATCAAGCGTCTCATTAAGAACCATGGCTCCTTGTAATAATCCCCTTCTTTCCACAAAGCCCATCTGCCTATGATTGACTAAATAAGGAAGCAATACTTTAAGTCTAAGTTCTAGAATCTTTGCGAGTATCTTATACATACAACCTATCAAAGAAATAGGCCTATACTCATTCAGACTCTGTGGTGTATCAACCTTGGGAATCAGAGAAATGAACGAGGAGTTGGTCCCTCGAGGTAATTTGCTATTATCGTGGAACTGTTGGAAAAAAAGCACCAAGTCCCTTTTCATAATATCCCAAAATTCCTTGATAAACTTGAAGTTTATACCATCTGGGCCTGGGCACCTATCACTCCCCCACGCCCAAACTGCCCTCTTTATTTCATCGTCCTCGAATGGCCTGGACAACAACTCTAATTGCTGAGCGTTTAACTGTTGGAATCTGACCCCATCCAAGCCTGACCTATGAGTCACTGAGTCACTAAACCTTTCTTGATAGAAAGATTTAATGTGTTCTTTGACTATCATAGGTTCACTAGTACACAATACACATTTTACGTCGGTTATTAGAGAGGTTTTTACGTCAGAAAAATGTCCGACGTAGAAGCGGGAGACGTAAATTTACGTCGGGGCGCAAAAACCGACGTAAATTTACGTCAGACATGCCAAGGTCCGACGTAAAAAATTCATAAAAATTTAAATAAAAAAAAAAAAAAGAAAAACGAGTGCAAGCAGAACGGGCCGTTCTGCTTGGAGAACTGCCCGTTCTGCTTGATAGACCCAGGCAGTGGGTGCTCCAAACCCGGACTTGGTCACTTCCTTCTACAGCTTCACAAACACGAAATGCAACACAAACATTATTACGAAAAAAACATCCCAGAAAACACAAACTTGATAGAAGATGCTACCTCATAGAAAAACAGATGGATGTATGGTTAAGCCATTTCCATGAACACGCGAAGAAGAAACCAACGCAACTTCGAAGAAGAAAAATAGAAGAACGTGAAGATGAGGAAGACAGCCACGATTTGAGGAGGAGGCGGAGGGATGAGGAAGAAAAATCCACAACGCGCGGGAGAACGTGAAGATGAGGAAGAATGCCACGATTTGAAATCTATAGTGCGCGCACACCTTCATTTAAGGAGTTATTTACGTCGGAGAAAGATGGGTCTGACGTAAATGAGATAATTTACGTCGGACAGCTAAAGCAGCCGACGTAAATTAGAAGAGACGTAGTAGCTCCTTTTTCCACTAGTGGTTCTTCCTCCCACCAATTATCAATAAGAAGACCAGGCATGTAATTCCTCTTCATATTCAAATTTATGACATGGTGAAAGTACTTTGAGTTTATATCACCCAAGCATCCACCTGACCCGTGCCTTTTGAGCCAGTTGAGACTCCTCTTTAAGTGCCACTTCCCAATATGTTTGTTGTAGGTGAATCCTCCTTTGTAGTTCCTCCTCTGATAGGATTCTAGTTTCCTCTATGCGATCAATTGCATTCATTTCGTCCATAACATCAGTAGTAGTTTGTATGGAGGTATTTCTACCTCCCCACCAATTCTTCACTTGGCATTTTATGGCTTTCAGCTTCTCCTTAACAATAAACGCTGCCCAGCCAACCACTTCTGTATCAGCCCAGGTCCTTGACACCAATTCTCTGCACTCCGAGTCATTTAACCAGAAATTAAAGAATCTCCATGGTTTAGGCCCCCAATCTATCTCTCGGTTCCTCATCAAAATGGTACATTGATCTGATATTCCCCGGTTAAGGACTAACTGAGCAACTCTCGGCCATCTCTCCAACCACCCTAGCAAAACCAATACTCGGTCAATTCTGCTTTTAACCCTCCCATTTGGTTTATACCATGTATATTTACGACCCGCCAAAGGGACATCTTCCAGTTCCATCTGAGCAATAAAATGATTAAACATTTCTATATCTGTAGTAGCATAGAGACCAGTAGCTTGGCCAACCCTCTTCACCAAGCACCTTATGCTGTTAAAATCTCCTACCATACACCACAATGCTATTGGGCTAGCTCTTTTCTTTTCTAGAATTTCATCCCATAGCATCTTTTTACGTTGTCTCTTCGAGGGTGCATATATATTTATAATCACCATTAAATCTCCAGTCACAATCCATTTGGAAACCAACCCCAAATACCCTTGACCTGTAATTTGAGATGTTACCTCAAGTTTTCGGCTATCCCAAATGCATAATAATCCTCCTGCAACATTATTTGCAAGGGCCCAACAACACTCGCACTCTCCACCACCCCATAGTTTCTTATACAACGCTTCCATGTCAACCTCCTTCTTTGTTTCTTGTACACATAGCACATCCACCCTATATTTCAAGACCAGCTTACTGATGATACCATGCTTTGTCTCACTTCCGAGACCTCTAACATTAAATGAAATAATCTTCATTGATCACTAATGTTAACCCCTTCATGTGTCTGGCGTTGTAACATCTTAGCTTGTTGGATGTCTCTATTTTCTAGATTACCAAACTGCTCCACAATCACCCCCTCATCACCTTCATATGTCACCCCTAACACCTTTGCCCTTTCCCATTGTTTCTTGGCCTCAATGATCTCATAATTAGCCCAGAACAATCGGTTGCAGTTCAATACATTTGTGTCTGAAATGGAATTATTAGATGAATTTAAATTCTGGCTCATTTGGCTTCTAACAGCTTGTGTCACCTTCCTTGACTTTGATTGATGCACCACATGTGCCGAGCATTGAATCTTTTTTGCCCGTCGCTCATCACCTAGAGGATCCAAATTTATGTTGTCATCTAACACTGTCGGTGTAACATTGACGACGGCCTCAACGGATGTATAGTTCATCTCTAGCACAGCCTTCTTTGACAGCTCGTTCGATTACGTCAACATATATCCCGGTTCCCTGCACTGGTCTAAGATAGTCCCCTTCTCGTTCATACCCTCTAATTCCAACGTATTATTTTTGACCCTTTCGGAGTTGACATTGTCATTCTCTGTACCTGTTATTTGTGGCGATACACGTGTTGAGCCTGGCGTTTGGACCGTTGCACGTGTTGAGCCCAAAATAAATCTATTACATGTGGTTAAGCTTGAAGCCCGAAGTATATTTGGACCTCGTAATGGGAAACCCCTCCCCCAAGCACATGGAAGTGACGTTCTTCAGCTTGATGTAAGGTTTAGCCGACCTACTTCCCCATTTCCTGAACCTTGTTTTTGGTGCCCTTTTCCTGATTGTTCTTCCATATCCACCTTTTTTCCTAACACAGTACCGTCCCCCCTCACCAACTCCCTGAAGCTACCTCGTTATAGTATACTTTTCTCTGTGTTGTCTGACTTATCTTTTGCATTGACGGCTACACTTTTCATTGTTTCACTGCACGCCACCTTTGAAACTCCCGCCATCCATGAATTTGAATTTAAACAATCTGACCTAGCTCCGCCGTTGGTTCTACCTGCTGGAGATATGTCCTGGGCAAAAGGATTGCCATCCCAGTTCTCCTCTTCTTCTATCGTGTTTGAGATAGAATGTAAGTCCCCACCGCAAACACTTTCATTAGATTGTAAGATCTCTGAGTTGTCCCTCCATAGGTAACACTTGCAATTTGGGTATAACCCCCCTGTGTTCGACTAGTCTGATTTGTGTTCGTATTCCATTGATCTTGAACCAGGAATATTGTTGGATGGGTAGTTGTGATGAAGTTTTAATAAGCTGCCTCGCGCTCTCAATTGTCTTGAACGTGGTAGTATCTGAATCCACCTTAACCAAAGACCCTTGGATTCACACCACTTGAGAAAAACATTGTTCATTCCACATATGCAAAGGAACCCCGTAACACCTCACCCACGTTAATCAGGACCCAGGCAATGTTGTCGGATCCCATCGGTTAATATCATAAAACAATGCCCAAAACTCACTATTTTCTCCCTTCTCCGCTTCCATAAGATCCATCTCCTACAAGCCTGAAATCAAGACTAAATCATCTCCAAAGTATCTTAGTCGTACCTTTTCGTTCCCGTGCAATGCTTGTAGCCCTTCCAGTCTGTCAAAATCCTCCAGTGAGTATAACCTTGTCACCCAACTCTCCCGAAGCCATTCACTGCACACCTCGAGCACTTTCATTGTAATTTCAGTCCGTTCTTCATCCTCACTATTACCCAGGATTGATGGTTTTTTCTCACACCACATCACCTTCTGTGCCTTTATCCCCCTTATATCCCGGGATCGTGGGGCTACCGTCTTCACCTTCTAGTGTATCTTTTGGACTACATTTTCGTTAACCACATCAACGTATGACCTTTGGGTGTCCTTCCTTCCAGCCTCACCTCGATATATTTTTGTTTCATGTTTCTTCTTCCTTGTTTCTTCCTTAGAGAACCTTGAGATGTTTACGTTGAGCTTAACACTCCCAATGTAGACTTTATCGAATCGAACCTCCAGTGCTTTTACATCCCACACGTCAATGAACTTGACAAATCCATACAGGTATCCTTTAGCATTCCTTCTTGCAGCAATGAAGACCTCCCACACTCTGCCCCACCTCTGAAACACTTTCCATAGATCTTGCTCACGATACGACGGTGGAAACTTCTCGAAATAGAACGATGTAATTCGTCCATTCATCGTGTTATGGTTGCAGGATAAGTTATACTTAAGAATCTTATTATATCCTCCTTTATATATTAAGAATGTTGTATGCCTAAGTGTTGTTTGCTTAATGGTTCATTGACTAAAGGGTGATGTTTTGTGGGTGATTGATTTTACGTTGTATGTGTTTAGATAGAAACTTAGTTATTAATTTATTGAATGCATCATATATTCAAATTAAGTTGAAGGGGTGTGCCAAGATGAGAGTTTTATGAATTGTGTATTTGAGGGGTGTCCTTGAGTGAGAAAATTTTAAGGTGTATTATATGACTTAAGGGTGTCTTCAAAGAAAAGAACCTGTTACGTTAATAAGTTTCATCCATTCCCAAAGGGTGTTTTCAGTGGGAAACACATTGTGATTTGATGGTGCTTCCATGGCTGAATGGTGTCTTTGGTTGAGAAATCTGTTATGATTTCGAGGTGCATCCATGACCTAAGTGTGTCTACGAGTGGGAGACCTACTTCAATTTTATGGCATTTCCCGTGCATGATGCGACACAATATGAATGAATAGTTTGTATTGAATATAATAGGGTGCCTCAATAAAAACCTTATTCTCCAAAAACCTTTTCACATTCTTGTAAGGAAAATCAACCGAGAAGGAAAAAGTACAATTGAGAATTACAAAAGTTTAGCTAAAATAATGCTTTAAATGCATATAGTTCCATGTCCTTAGAATTGGATTCCCAGATAGTTCTTCATGCTTGTAAGTGTCATTTTGGAGAATGTGTCATACTCGAAATGGTTTTTCCCAATTTGCTGCTAGCTTGTCTTCTTTGGGGGCTTTTTTCCAGGCTTATCTGATAACTCGCCATACCAAGTAGTCCTCCTTGAATCCCCTAGGTTTAAATTCGGAGTTTAAATGCCTAGCAACTTTGCTTTACATGCCTTTACTATAATGAGGGCTTATTTTGGTTTCTTCTACAAGTTTCAATTCCACACATAGAGTTACAAAGTTTTTATTTTTTTTGAATTGTTTTTCCTAAAAGGAGTTCTCCAATTTCCACTAGGATCATGGTGTAAGTACCAAATACCAACTGGAAAGGTGTTTCCTTTGTTAAACATTGGGGGTGTACTCTGATATGCCCACAAAATTTCTAGTAACTAATCAACTCAGACTCTTTTGGCCCTTCCAAGGTGTTTCTTTAATTCCTCAAGTATGACCTTATTTATTAATTTGGTTTGCCCATTAGTTTATAAGTGTTTAACTAAAATTAACCAATTCTTTATAACCACTTTTGCAATAACTCATTAAACTTCTTATTTGTAAATTGCAAACTGTTGTCAATAATGATGGAGTGTGAGATCCTAAGTCGGGTGATTATGTTTTTTCGAACGCATTTTTGCATATTTTTTGTTGAAATGGTGGCCAGTGATTCAACCTTAAGCCACTCCATGAAGTAGTTAACAACTAATATAACAAATTTTTGTTGTTTGAGAGCTGAAGGGAAAGTGCCCAATAGATTCATTCCTAACATGGCAAACAACCATGGGAAAATCATATCTCACAGGTGATCGAATGGTTGGTGTATTAAGTCATTGTGCTATTGATAGGGTATGCATTTTTTGACAAATTATTCACTATCATTGTGCAAGGTGGGCTAATAATATCTTGCTATACGAATCTTTATTGCCATAACTCGTCCTCCCGAATGCATTCCACAAATCCCTTCTTGAATCTCTCGGAAAACATAATGCACTTGTTCTTTGGTGAGACACTTTAATAGGGGATGAAAAATCCTCGCTAATAAAGTTCTCTTGTGACAAGGGTATAATGAGCAACTTGTGTTACATTTTTGGCTCACAAGGGGCTTCTTGGTAATGCGACACTAGCAATGTTAGGATATATGTCATCCAATTCTCTTGAGGAATGTTTGTTTCCAAGCATTATTTTTCGCCAAGGTTGAGAGTTGTGATTTTCTCCCATGTTGAGAGTTTTGAGGTGGCTTGTTTTCTAGTTGCATGCTAATTTGGCTAGCTAGTTGGCCTGTTCGTTTTGTGTCTATGGTGTGTGGTGTACTTGTACTTTGAATTATTCTTTTAAGTGTTGGAAATTAAGCATGATAATATTACATTAAAATTGGCTCCTTGACTTGAAAGGTGTCATTTATTTGCTCGGTTGCCACCTTAGATTTGATCTAGCAAATGGCCTTGGTCGTGCCTACCTCTCTAATGAGTCTAAGACCAATAATGAGGGCTTTGCATTTAGCTTATTTGTTGGAGGATTTAAAGTTGAATCTCAATGATTTCTCTAAAACCAAAATGTTAGGTCCTTTGAGAATGATGCATGCTCCGCTTTTGTGTTGATTCGAGGATCCGTTCACATTCAAGGTGCGCGTATCTGTCTCAGGTTTCCTTTGAAGGTACAATTCATTTTCAAAATCGGCTAAGTGTTGGGTGAAACCATGTGGTGTACTAGATTTCTCTGGTGAAACCATGTGGTGTACTAGATTTCTTTAGTGAAACCAACAACCAAGAGTTTTGATGTCTCCTCATTTATGATGTGCGATCTTTCCCCCTATTTTTCTCTTATTTTATGCTATAGGCTTTGCATCCTGGCATATTTCCAGTCTATGATAGTGAAAATTTGGATCTATCCTCAACATGTCAAAGAGCGACCATGTGAATAGGTCAGTGCATCGAACTACCTCTTTGATGCTTTTGTAGCTATTTTCATATAACCTGGTGCCCAAGTTTGTGGCTTGTTGTGAGGTAGCACTTAAATGTAGGGCACAAGTTAATTCATTTTTCTTAACCATCTGATCCTTATCTTG